AAACTTACGTGTAATATACGTACAGAGCTGCAACAAACATGAGGCAAAACTTAGGTCTCACATAGATCGCAACACTAAATATGTATCTAGATGAATCGATAGCAAAACTTTTGTCTGCCTTCAATCGTTTACTACATTCGTACAATCAGCGTTGTAAACCAGAAATTTTCGAAGATAATTCGCCAGTCTCTTGTGTCAGTGACGTTTGCATTTTTTCGAAATTTCCACTCATACGAATGGAAAGTTCAGGTTGCTTCATAATAGTAACTATTAAATTTAGTAATGATATTTTTCGTTGTTAAGGAAATTGTTTTTTTATGTGCAATGTTACAAAATTTTCGATTCGACCAGTCCGCAGAATACCATTGGTTACTATACGCTGAGAAAAACAACAAGTCAAGCCCCTAATGCGCTATATTCAAATCCAACTCTCACACACAAAGAGCATCCAACATTAGAGTAATTACATAACAACAACTGTGTATATTCTTATAATTTATACATGCTTCTACACACGCATAGACGGATTGATAGAGTTAGAAACTCACTACACAGCAACGTGTAAATGTTTAGTTAGTTATACCAAACAAACTCCATGATGAACTTTACATCACCTGGTCGAACGATGCAAGTACTGCAGCCGCCCTTCTCATCAACGGCAGGACACCTTCATGACTCACTGGCCTGGTGGGCCTATAGCAAGAGCTATTTAGGCAAGAGTTTTGCCTCATTTCGTTATGCCGTTTCCCTCACTACGAAAACGCAAACGAAGAATTTGAACGATTGAAAAACTCCGTAATCGAAATGATTAAAATAGAATGTACTATTGCTTGTAAAGGTTGTAATACCAATGGAGGTGACACCCGCATTACACGACAGTCCATTCTTGTCGTCGTAAGCTTCTTGTCGTGATAAATTCTGGCGGCAGCGATAGTGAAAGAAGACTTTGTTGCAAGCTCGCTGGTGATCAAGTAATCCCGCAAGTGATTCGAGCGTCTAGAGCGAAGCAGTCACCGCAGCCCGGGTGAAGTGATCCGTTCGGATCGCCTCTACCCGCCTACCCTTACATATATCAAGGCCGATCCTATACCCACAAAAGAAGTTAGGACCAATAACGGATAGACAGTTTGATCGAATATTCAGGTCCCGTTGAGTTCATTCGTCGGCTCGTTTTAGCCTGGTTCCTGACTGGCCTGTCTGCTTTTCCTCTTTCTCCTATTTCGTCTGAGAAGCTACCGGGTCGGACTCTTGTCTTGATAGTGTTTCAGTAGCAACAACTGTAGCGCTTCACGCATCTCATTGTGAAGACCCATCCCCGTTTCTGTGGAACAGCTCGATATCTGTTTTGGTAAGCGTGCCAAACATGAACGGGAAAAACCCAACGTGAAGGGACTCCGACGCTCATCGTAGGCAAAAGGCGCTCTCGCTGTGCTCATCTGCCTTAACCATTGCCTCACTCTGTCGACTAGAGCAGAGTAAGTCCCAGCCGACTCCGAGCACAACTGGCCTACTCGTTTTGCGCCCGATCTTAAGCGCTTTTCCCCTCCTGCCTCTTTTTAGCCTGTCGTTTTGACGCGTTCGCATTTTTTTGCCCGCTTTCGTTCGTTTAACTGAGTTTCCTCCGCTGGTTGGTTGCTTGGCTGTACAGTGGAAGAAAGGGCGGCGAACCCGGTGCGACAACCAAACGAATCGAGGTAAACGAGACGGGAAGCACCAGGGACCTCGTAGAGCCTTTAAATGGAATTATCCCTTTCAACTTTATAGATGGAAAGATAGCTAGATAGCTGTCGTAGCTGCAACTGGGCTATGGGCCCAAAATAGGGCATAAGATGATAGGGGGCAAATGTCGTACTTATGTTGGATATCTAGGAAGAGATGAGGACTAGGTGGCGGGTTGTGCAGCTGCACTATCACTGCATAGAAGGAAGCCAGTGAAGGTGGAATTCATTTGAGGCTAATATCGGAGTATGATTTCGTCATGTTGGTAGACTCATATACTGTTGAAGTGCCCATAGGATTGAAAAGCTGAGCTTGCTTGCCGCAGGTACCAGGGCCACTTTAGGGAAATTCTAAAAGAGGCAAAGAGAAATGAGCAATGAGCTAAAAGTTCTACGGCGCGTATAGTCCATTTGATACCGCCAAGTTTTATCTCTTATTGGAGACTGGCATTAGAAAAAAACAGAGTGCACTACAAAATATAGGGAAGCAAGTAGAATCGAACTCTAGACAGAGCATTTCCTCGTTCATCGAATCGTGCCTAATTTCAGTCGCCGCGGTCGCCGCTTCCAGCGTCACTTCACTACTACCACGGCTTGCGAGCTGTATATGTCGTTCCATGTATGTGCCCCGACACTATGTTGTATCCGTGGCGTGAAATAGTAATAACACGACGATATCCTAGCATCCCATGGAGGAAGAAAATGGCCCAGATGAGAAAAATTATGCATGTTTTTTTCGAGGGCCTATAAATCTTTTCTTCCTTTCATACACCATTTATTCAATCTCAGCGCTCTTGCCCCAGCCTCACTCATTTTCTCTCATATACTTTTTCCGTTTGTGTTGACCGAGCGAATCACGTCGGCGTTTCAGAGTCCCCACGGGAACTGTTCCATCTCTTTCCCTTCACCTCAAGTATGGGTATTATTACCATGTTGTGTAAGTAATGGTACTAGCCGCAGTCGTAGTATTAGGAGTAACTTCTGGATTACCGCTCTTTGAAGTGAGCACAACTTGTCGGTGTATGGTCGACTCCGCCGTCGACCGTTTTCTCCACGTTCTCTACACCAGAATTTTTATTCAAATTCAACCATTTTAGAGACTCTCGGAGCGACTCACGTTTTCGGGTCGCCCCACACACTGAAGCATCTAGACGGATTCACTCGGCCAGAGCCGTAAATATGGACGGGTGGCCTGTAGTAGGCCGTTCTGACTCAAGCGTTCGTCGTACTCCCTTGCTTCATCCACAAAATCGACAGGATTGACTACTCCTCCATTATGCTTCCCATATGTCGACCGCTATAACAGAACGAAAAAAACAGAGATACAAGAGCTCCCATAAAAAAAATTAAATTATCAGTCCAACTATAGTATTAGAAAAGGAGCATACGGGGCTGTCATGGTACGACGGGTAGATCGGCCGACTCAGGGGAGACGGGAAATACGCGGCCAAAATAAAAACGATTGTTCCCCAGGGTAACCATTTTTGAAGAAAGCTAATTCGAACGTTTTGCAGTCGAACTGAACCTTCTTTAGAAATTAACACGTAATATTTGCGTAGACACTTATATGCGAACATATATTTTTTGTAATAATGATAATGGATGGTAATCATGATGGTCCATTTAGACGTTTTTGTCCGCGAAACGGCCACGTATACAGCAAGACAATGAGGGTATGCGCTTCGATCCCAGATATGAACTGTGGCCGAATGAGATTACTAAAAAGTGCAAATCATAGACAGCTATGAGATGTGTTTCATTATAACTTCACACGTTTTAGTCTGCACTCTTGCAGCAGGACAACTGGAATTGCCTCGTGGGCGACAACTTTTTTGACTTACTTTATAGTCTACCAATGCCAAAAGTGTTCCAGGGCTGTGCTAAATGCTCTGAGGAGTGGTGCTTATGAGGGCAAGTGTACTCTATGGCGGTATTATTAGCCAACTCCGATTTGGCTTCATCGTGCGGGTTGTGTTGAAGTCAGCAATTCTGGTGATAAAAAAAAAATCAAAGTGTTTGCGATCAGACGGCTAATAAATTTACCGCTGATGAGAACGACTCTGGGTTAAATAACTGGAGTGAGTCGCATCGTTGGCAGTTGAGCTAACAAAAGCCTTTGCCACTCATCATTTAACATGCACTTATATTCGAGTGATGAAAAGTAAGCTCATTTCATTACTGTAAAAAAAAGTTTTAAAATAGATAGAATTTTGCGCTCTTTTTGGTGATTTGTAAACATTTAATAGAAAGCGGATCAGCAGCGACGGTTGATACTCCTCGCGCTTTGAACTCAACCTTCTCTTTGAGAAGAACAATTGCCATCTTGATTGTACCTGCAGGATCTGTTCCCATGTCTGACTGGATACCACGTAGAGAGTAACAAATTACTATACATTAATAACTGACGAATGACCTTTGTGTGTGACCCCACGTGCTAACCGTCTGTGGCCTAACACGAAACCGACAAGAGGTTACTTACAATATGTCTTATACGGCAACGTAGCTCATAGTGCACGCTCTTAAATAAAACTTGCAGGTAATCTATGAAAACTTACAATCGTCCATTACAGATAGGGAGCTAACGCAAAAAGGATAGTTATAGGCTGGATAGACGCATTACGAGCTCACAGGTGTGTCACGATTATATTGAGGAAAAAGTTCCCCTGTAAGCCCTGAATGTTCCCCAGAGCCTTTCTGCAAGAGCTCAGATAAATGGTGGAATACTATATATACACGCGACTGTCGCTGTATAACATTTAGGTGGCCAGTGGGTGGTTTTCTTGGTGCACGTTAATTGATAGGAAACGATTTTGAAAAGTGATCGAAAGTAAATTAATTAAAAAACAATTGATTTGCTCCGCCTTTCGGTTATTAGAGCCTTCAGCAGTTTAGCTGCTTCTAAATAAAAGACTTACTGTTAAGTTAGAGCTTTACGTAGTGATCTAAATGTTAGGAAAAATCATATACACATATAGGGCTGATTTTATGAACTACGACAACCATAACTGAACGTGGCTGGGAGGCGACCTTTAATTAAGATTAAAGTATAATTCTCACTTCGTTTGAGGCTTCTGACAGCTCCTTTAGCCGGCTGATCAGATTTTCAGAAAATACCCATGTATTGTCTCCATAACCCAATAGATTGCATGCACAGCACGTATTATACTATCAACTATACAACATTACTGTGATATATAATATTGCGCTGACGTGTTCCCAGTATTACGTACGGCTACTTCGTACCCAAAAAGCTATATAAAAAAAACTTTGTTAACCACTTACCTTGCTATCGGTGGTTTGGCCTTAATTCTGATCGAATCTACTTCGTTCAACATCCTGACACCAGCGCCTACAAACATTTCAACACAGAAAACAAACAGTGCGTCAAGACGATGTGTTGCATGCTCAAGATGACGCGACACTCGTTTATTAGTTCATGATACTCAGCTTTGGTTGTTCCAGACTATATGACCGGTCAGCTCGTTTATGGTCGACTCTGTATTCTAATAGGTGTTTGTTAAAGTCAACCTAATCCTAATCATGCTTGATCGAGTTTAGTATTTCATTCTATAGGCTATCATATTGTAGGACTGATTAGTGCAGGAGTAGTCAGGGGCAAAATTTGTATTGGCCGGTACGTGCCACGCCAAGTTCTGATGGGTTCACGAAAGCTCATGAGGCAGACGCTGATGGCCGCGTGTTGTGGGCTCCATTTACACACGAAAAAAAAAAAACACATTTGGTCTAAATATAAAATTTGGGTAGCTAATGAGAATTAGTTTAATGACAAATTGAGCGATTTTGACGTTCAGATACGTTATCGGACTCTTGATTATTGATGACGTGAGAACAATCTAATACTACGAAAAAACGAGTGTGGCTGAATGGGCACGAAATTGCGATTTCGAATCACATGTATCGTAGGTGATGGTGCCAGTGGCAGTAAATGATAGAGTTATATTGTATCCGTTAAAGTGTATCAGTAATCTAATTAAAGTAAGATATACAATGAGTATGGCAGCAATGTTTACCCAAAACAGAATAAGAATTTATGGGTTGACCGAAGAGTTATAGCGCTCCTCAGTAGAGAATAGAATGGGGTGGATGAACAAAGCGCAGAGGCAAAATCGAATCAATCTGTTTTGAAGTAAATCGGCCCGATTTTGAAATACAGACCATTCTGAGTAAGGCATACAGGCCACTCGACCGCTGGCCAAGCATAGTATTATATAACGGGCATGTTCTACTACGATAATGTCGCTCTCGCCAGACTGCGAAGGTTAGGGCACAGAGCCCTCTATTTTCACTAACCGAGCGGAAGGGTCTGAGTCGACATAAGCTCACATTATGTGTATGTACATTGGGACATCCCACCCTAACGGTACACGATTGTTGTAACTTCATAACAATAAAATGATATAATGGATAGTATTATACAGCAGATGAAAGGATAAATCTGTCTGCTGACCTAGACTGAATCCAGTACATGCTGTACTCACGTGCATACACACGTGAGCGAAATAAGATGGAGCGTAAGTAAAAGATATACCTTATGTAAGCCTGTGCGACACGAACAGCTATCTAGCTTAACGACTCGTTCGCAATATGTACATGTCCTTTGGAATCTAACGTTCCAGCCGGATATAAATCAGCTCAAAAGACACAAGATAAATTGACGGTCTTGATTAAATCACATCGCGAGTTATAACTTTAGTTTACCCAGGCTAGACAGTTCGTACGCGCCGTATCGTCTGACGTCTTTCCGCATACTGTGCGCGTCACTAAACGCTCGTCGCTGTTTGCGCAGTCTCGTTCTCTCTTTCCTTTTGAAAATCTTCAAATGTCAACGACCCTGGTGACGTTTCGAGCGAAACTCCTTGTAGCTAAAACGTTGCCTCTTTTCTGTTCGACACTCTTCGCATAAGAAAGTCAACTGCTTCCACAAAGACCAGTCGGATACACCGCGCCTCTCCAGGAGCATATTATTATTAGATTTTTATTTATAATGAACATGAAGGAATACACATTATCGTACTTCAAAGTCAAGAGCTATCGTTCGGCGGTATTCACCAACCAGCTCAAGCCTGAAGTCCGTAAAGCAGACGCTGGTGGGTTAGAACACGGTACGAGGAATCACTCCGTCTGCCTGTTAATGCTTGTGTACAAGAGCAATACCGTCAAGTCAGGCATAAAAAATGAAAAGTTATCCGCCACAGGTGGTCGCTAGCAGACGACAGTAAAAGCCTATCGCGCAAACACTATCATAACCAGCTCACCGACGCACCGTATTTTTACTGAGCATTGGCTTTAATTGACGTTAGGTCCGGAATTGATGCAAGGTTGATGTAAGTTCCTATACACTATACACACGGTGAAGTCGTCTATGACGATCGTTTCCGAAGACCTATCTATTAATCTGGCATAAAAATGTACAGGTACATATGCTGAAATTACATTGTTGGAAGCTTGTACGAGGTGTCTCTATAGGGGGATTTGATGTCGTATGTAACGTGTCCGATAGCGTGGAACGTTTCAAAATGGTAGTAATTGCTTTGACAACACTTTATCCGCAAATTGGATGGTTACCTTAGATAATCTTATCGCGGTGTTTGCGGTTACGTCGTAATTCATTCTTAATTACTTATAGATTTAATTATTCGTCATCATTTTTGCGCAAAATACATCTCATCTTTAAGGATCATAATAAAAATCACATTTTCTTATCACGCATACACTACGTTGTTGGTGAGATCCAAAAACCGCAACTGGCAATTTTTTTACTCAGAAAATCAAAACCCATTATTGAGACGTTCATATCCTGAGAAGCAGGTAGGAACGTGTGCTCTTCCGTTTGTCCAAGTTAACTACATAATAGTAGTAGCCCCAATCTTTGCGTGTGTTTTCTATCTAGGCTATTTTCTTTCATCCTCACCACTTTAATCTCAATCGGTAGGCTCCGCAGTCGCCGCTTCATAACGTGAACACTACAAAGATCATCATAGAAAGGATCATATGAATTTAAAATGAATGTTACTGTCGGATTTAGCGGAATTCTTAGCTACATTGTGCTTATCCCGTACGGACGATGGGACAATGCCAGGTTTTCTTTTAGACACTGTCCCGTGCACCCGATCTTTTGGTCTATTTAGCTGAATTATGATCTTGTACAGGACCGACTATACGAGCTGAACTAGGTTCAGTGCGACCTACAGGCGTCTGTGGAACCGGCAGCCGTTTAGTAATAAAACAATAGAGCTTCCCGTCTAATTGATCTGGCTCCAGCCTCTCAGTTTAAGGCCTGTTGATGATTCGAAGGTGGCGTTGGTATGGCCATTGCAGTGAGTAATTTCCTATAGAAAAATATTGGCTTTCTGAAAGACGGATATGCCTGCAAAAGGTTGGGTCCACTCCCCTTGAAACAGCTGTTGCAGGCCGCTATTTCCCTTACGCTCGATAACGTCAACCCTACCAATTGCAGCAATCAAAATGCTGATGGTAAACACTTCTAGGAGCTCAACAGGATGGTGAAAACTTCTTCTCTATAGGTATGAGCAAACGTATGTGCAACTGTTGTCCCTGTAGACTGTACGAGGTTTTGAGTTGAAAATCAGCATAAAACTTAGATCTAACGAAGGCTACCGTATGTATTGTATTTATTTCGGTGTCCCCCCCCCCGAACAGTCTCTAAATTTATAAATGGACTTCAGCCACCCGGAATTCAATCGCCAGATTCAGGCCCCACTATTGTGTCGAATTGCTTCACTGATTATTTGGGTCAGACCTTTATCCTGAAACTATGCTTCGCACCCTACCTGATACCGTGTTGGACAAATTGGAGAGCCTTCGGCCGCGCTGAACTGACTGTGTTATGATTCACATCGTGAAAATACAAGCAAATGTTCAAGTTCATGAGGTCCAAATGGGGTGCCGAAATTGCCATGCCGACTGGCGCTGGCAGGCGATTTACCTCAGGGTGACCTTCATTTTTCGCAAAGAGCTGCACTTATCGTTAAAAAACATGCAACAATACTTCACCGTATAAAAGTCGCTATTTTATTGTTGACTATCACTAGACAGATGACAGCGACTCCATTAACCGCCTTCATCCGCAAGGCTTTCAGTGCGTGGTAGGCTGTTAGGTTTACGTTTGATAGATAAAGAACAATTAGTAACTAGCCGAATATGACCGGCGGTATATTCTGTATACTGTTCCCTACGAGCGCTAACATTACTAAAGTGTACTGATTTCTTCGTCGAACATAATGCCCGTTCACCTCACTATTATTCAATGCTGATCATGGAACAATTGATTTTGCCCAGTTCCTTCATCTGGGATCTAAAACGGGCTACAATGACTAAAGCTACTTCTTAATATTTTTTAAACTTTTATCATAGATTTTCAATATCTGATGTCCAAATTAGCTGGTAGACCATCGAGATCAACTAGGGCGATTCTAGAAACGCGTCTCTAAGGTAAAAATTATTCGAGACGCAGCTTTGACAAACGTTGACAATTTAGTAACCCTCCAGGTTGCAGGGTGGCGTAAACGGGACCCGTCAGGCATCTTTGATACCGTGCATTCCCGGCTAGGCAGACGTCTTATTGATTCTGACATTGAATGCAACGACAGCAAGTGAAATTTACCTATACAACACACAACTAACTAACTAACTAACAATGGAGCGGAGCCTGCTGCAGGCATTCATATGTCACCTAAATAATAACTTCAGAGAAAGGACATAGATTTCTGTTGCGGCGATGCTGATTTAATCAGACCTCATTAATCAGTTACATAGGGTAACAATTTTACAAAGACAGATAACCGTGTATGTATTACCCTCTAAAAAGGCCGACTGGTACCTGGAAAAATACTTGTTTTGATATACCTATTAATGTGATTAACGCAATCATATTAGTGTTGTTATCTCGACAAATGGCAAGCCCTTCTAGGCTTGAGCTCTTAGTGACCTACTGTTCACATGTAAAAATGATAAAAGTAGCGTCTCCAAAATCATTCATATCCATTCATGCTGAGACTATAGTTGTACGCGCACGCACACAGACTTCAACAATTAGAGATGTCTCACCGATTGTATATATATAAACCGTCGCCGTAAAATAGCTTTAAGCGTTAAGCAATTATATTTACTTATCTGTTTTTTTTTTTAATCATTTGCCGTTTCTTTTATGGTTGTGAATGCTAAATACGGCCGGCGCCAGACTGTTCGAATCTGTCTGATTTTAGTGGATGAAATTGTGAAGTGGGATTAATATGACACCGTAGCAAAGCTGCCTTCACTCAACTAAGCTTCAAACGTTCCCATCTTAACTTCTCCGAGCGTCCGATT